TAGATACTCAGTAAATATTTGTTGAGTGAATGACGCAGGAATCATAGAGTGTGGTACACAGAGGTGCTTAAGAACATCCTTACTGGATGAATCAGAGCTCCGCCACCGAAGTAGCAATCCTGAAATTGCTACTTGGAATTATTAGGTTTCTGTCTTTACTTTTGAAAACTAGTTCTTTATCTGCGTGTTTCCTTTTTCCTGTGGTGTACACACAGCAGCTCACATCACAATTAATTTTGAAAGCAGATCAGACATGTGAGCAATTAGCTCTCAGTAGGACAAGTTATCTCTCCATAGCACTTGTAGATTATACAAAATGATATGAACGACATTAGTGTGGACGTTTAGGATATGTTTTGGGAACACAGGGCACATTTAGCTGAGGGTCTCATCTTGGCTGTTCCACTGATGGAGCCCTCCCAGCAAAGTTTTTTCCAAGCTCAGCTTTGATCTGCTTTCAGGCCTGCCAACAAACTCTAGTTTCTCATCTCAGACCTCAATTATTTCGCAAGAATCGCACAGAATCCAGCTTTGATGATGTACATGAAAAATGGTAGAAAATTCAGGCTATTGGGGAAAACTGAATGTATAAAAATGAACCCCACTTACTAGAGACAACTATCCCTGGCAGATCTCTCACTGAGAAAGACAAATGAATGGGGCTGAAGACAGAGATGGAAACTGTCATTGCTACATGCTATTGACCTGGAATGGAGGCAGCAGAACCTGTCTGATGTGTTCTAAGGGCGGCTATTTAGATCTTGCACCATTTCTTTTTTCCACTGTTTCTGTGGTGGAGGTGTTTGGGCTTGAACTTTGATTCCTCTCAGAAATACAAGAAATGGACTTGATCTTGACCTTAACACTAGCATAAGTTTACCCTTGGTTTCAAAGCTGAAGTTCTTGAAAGTGAGTTGAGCTCTATCTCTTCAGAAATTCATTTGTGGGACCCTGGGGACTGGACGCAGGAGCAACTGCCTGTCCCTCTAGCATGGCAGTGTTCCATAGGAAAGAGCTAGAAACACAAACCATGCAACCTCTAACTGTGAGAAACCCCAGGGCTAAGCCCAGTCCGGCTTGGAAACACTATCCTCAGGCTTTGAAGTTCTGTTGTTCCATCCAGGCTTTGCTTGTGTTTTCTTTTTCTGCTTATTCTCTTCCAAAATAAACTTAATGTTGCATTTCATGTTTTCTTCCTTATCAGGCCCTTTTTTCCTTTGCAAGTTCCATGAGAAAATTGAAAGGCTATCAGGTACACTGTGGTGGGGTTGCAAATAATATATAAGATGCCTAGTTAAATCCGAATTTTAGGTAAACAACAAATAGTTTTTAGTGGAAGTATATCCCATGCAATAGTTTTCTTTGCTAAATCTAGTGACTCTAGTTGTATGCCTATTGTTTTATTTTGGCATGCTTTTTTGTCATTTTGATTTTTATTGGCAGAGGTATGAAAAGGGTAAAGAAAGAATGAAGAGGAGTGATTTTGTATCCTGTTTTTGACCTGGGGTTGACCGTTTCCGTCTTCTTATGTAGAGATGTCATAGAAAGCCTCGAAGGTCCTTTCTACGAAATCTTCCAACTTCTGGTCTGAAGAATGTCTCTTGGTTGTGTTTTTGCAAATTTCTAATTTGACTACAGTGTGCCATGAGTTTGAAATCTGAGTTCTTGAGCACATTGAAATTAAAGGGTCCGGGTTAATTGCAAAATGAGCAAAGTTGCAACGGAGAAAGCGTTTTCATTCTCATATGGAGCAAGCTTTCTGGAGTGACACTGGACCTATGTCATGTGCGTAGGGGTAGTTCAATCACAACAGCTGATCCTGTAACCCTACTTCAGAGATAATAAGTACAGATACAGTTCCATGTGGATCCCAGAAAATAGGAATGGAACAGGAGAGTGAGGGTATCAAGCTGGGAGATGTTAGGACCAATAAGGTGATAGCTAAGTGTAATGAGTGCTTACTATGTGCTAAGCATTAGCGTACACTGACTACACTCTTTTAATCTTTACTACAATGCTATGAATAGGCTATCAGTGTCATTATCCCCATTACAGATGGGGAGACTGAGGCAGACAAGATTAAGTAATTTAGTTAGTGGAGGAGATAAACTGGCTTCAGAACTCACAACACTAAACTACTTATTTCTGCAGCCTGTACTATCTGTGAGAGAAAGGGGTGTGCAGAGGCAGGAGTTGCTGAGCTGTTGGTATAAGCAGACTCTCCTTCTCTGGCGCACTCCTGGAGACCAAGAAGGTCCTGTGTGCGCCCATGGCAGGCCACTGTCTTCCCCTACACAGCCCTGGGAGCACAGGCAGGTGAGTCAAGCACACCAGGCGAGGTTGGTGAAATGATCAGGGAAGTAAATGAGATGTGAATAAATTATGAGACTGAATAAATTATATAAGGATTCTTTTTAAGAAAGAGCCAATGAAAGGTTGCAGGTCAGAATTTAATCCAACTAAACTAAGCTAATCTTTATCCTCTTCTCTTTTTTTCCCAGGGCCTTCATTACTCTCCCTGCTACAAGGTCAGAAGGTTGTGCTGAGCTCCAAAATCTGGAGGCACTAGTGGATTATTAAGATTAGGTAGCCATAGCCCTTCAGTCCTCAGCATGGTGAAAGTGCGGTCCCACACTCTCGGAAATCATCCAAACTGAAAGGGCCAGTGAAATTAAAAGGAAAATAACTGCAGAAGGGCCAAGAGTATCCTTGTTCCTTTAAAAGTAACTCTACATAACTTGAAAGCCCCTGGGAATGTATGTTGATTCTGTGTTTACAGAGGGGATAAAGGACTCCACTGGAAACAGATGTGATCTGTTTGATTTCCTCTAATACCATGAGCTGAAAACAAAGAAAATTACTGAACGTGATAACACTCAGGTTAAATAAAACAGTTCAAAGTTCCAAAAAGCCCAATTTGGAAGGAAGCCATAAATTTTGTTGCAATCATCAACATAAGAAAAAACTAGCTATGTCCCAAGGCCCTTTGTCTAGAAAAGAATTCTTTTCTTCTCCAAATCCCTCAAATGAGTTTTAAATGTGCAAATGATGGCTATAATTTACACAGAAACTTGAAACTATTAGCAGTTTAATCCACCTAAAATCCTAATGAAATTCTGCAGTATTATTCCTGTTTGTACAGCCCAGCAAACAGAGGATAGGAACTGCCACCCATAGACTCTGGCAGCTAGCTGTGCAATGAAATGAGACTGTAGGCCCAATCTTTGTACAAAATGCCAGATTATTATTGGTATTCAAGAGATCTGGAGGTTCAGAGCCAAAAAGGCTTTAGAAAACGACAACTAGATCTTATTATTTCTCCTTTGCAGTGATTTCTCTAAAAAGAAACAACCCAATGTGGGATTTAAAACTTTCCCTTCATTACGGTTTGTTTTCTAATAGCCTGAATCTGAGCAGGAATAAGCAGGGGGAAGGCGGTGGGTTCCGGACACCCTGATCATCATTCAGATTCATTATTTGCTTGAAAAGGGTGACAGAGGCCACCTTTCCAACAGGTGAATGCAGGGTTCCCTTTTAGAAAACACTTCTGCTTCGTTCCCTCCTGTCCCCCACCATCTCTATCCCCATCTCTTAGATCACTGTTCACATTTATATCATTGAACTTGTAAATTTTTTGTCTTTATTGTTCTTTTTGAAACGTGTCTGCTCTAGATTTAAGCACAAGTGAATGCTGTGTATGTGGGGAACAATCTTGTAACAGGAGCTGTGGGCAGCAGAGCCCTCCTGTGTGGGTTTTGTGGACCCCTGAGCAGCAAAACTCAGAATATATAACACCCACCCAATTTTGTCTGGATCCAAAATTTCAGACAGCACTTGCTTCATCTGCTCTTCTGTTCCTTTCTTCCTGAATCCTGGCTGCCTCATTTCAACAGATAATTGAAATCTTTCTCACTTTCTCAATAATCTTTGGGGAAATTCCACTTTGAAATTATCTTTTCCCTGTCATTTTTACTTTACAGTTCAGAGGACAGGGATGAGCTAGGAAACAGAATCTCAATCTCTCTCTCTCTCTCTCTCTCTCTCTCTCCCTTTCTCTCTTTTTTAAATGACGTAGGGAGTTTGGACATCCTCCCTACCCCCACCTCCCCTCTTTGATTCTAACCCTGATTCCTGGAGAATTATAGTTTTCCTTTTAACGGTTGCTGATTATCGCACCGGGAGGAGCAGGAGGGGCTGCCCAAGGAAGAGCCCAGGAGCCCATTCTGATCTCCGAGGACCCCAGCTGCCGGGTCCAGGTCAGGCTGGTCACAAAGCCCGGCGGGGCTGAAGCGCGAGCACATCTGACAGCGCCTTCCACCCGTCCCGCGGTGCGCCCGGCTCGGCGGGGGCGGCTCCACTCCGCCGGGGCCCGAGTTCGTTGGGGGACAACTTACTGTGCTCGCCGAGCATCCACACTGCAAACTCCCAAGCGGGAGGGGGAAAACAACCCAGGCTGTGCCGTGCCGAGGAGTAGAGGCAACAAAAGACCGAGACACGAGGGGAGGGAGGCAGACACGGAGGGAACGCGGACTCTGGCCCCTCGCTCCCCGAGAGCGCCCCTCGGATGCTGCTGGGGAGACCCTCCAGGACTCTCTTTGGGGCCTCTGGGGCCCGCGGCTCAGACAGGTAGTTGGAAGAAAGAAGAACAAAGCTGCCCGCGGAGGCAGGCGGCGGTCTCGGGGCGCCCCGGGGCGGGAAGAGCCGAGGCCGAGGAGGCGCCCCGCGCCCCCTGCCCCGCGGCCCCAGCGCCCCGCGTCGGCTGCCTCCGCCGCCTCCCCTCGCGCCTCCTCCTCCCAGGGAAGCGGCGCTTCCGAAGGGACGGGCGGCGGGCGGCGGGCGGCTGAGGACGCGGGGGAGCGGGGAAGGCCGGCGGCGTGGGGGGGGCGCTGGGGGAGGGGGCAGGACGGGGGGCGGGGGCGCCCCCCCCAAGCCGCCGAGCCGGGCGGGCCCCGACCGCCACCCTGCCGCAATTTCCCTGTGTCATGGCTCCGGTCTCTTAGCAACAGCCGCCAGTCCGGCCGCCCCGAGCCGCCGCCGCGGGCTCAACTCCACCCGGCGGAGCCCGGCGCGCAGCAGCCACACAAAAGAGGCGCGAGGGCCGGCGGCGCCGCCTCGGGGACACGCCCGGGAGCGTCGCGCGAGGGGACGCAGCGAGCGGGAGAATGAGCGGCCGAGAGGAGGGCTCCGAGGCGGGATGCGGGATGCAGAGGACCTGACACGTCTTGGAAACTCTTGGAAATGGCTCCCGCCACAGCGCCGGAGGGGGCTGCGAGTCTGGGGAGGGCGCTCGCCCCTGCGGGGCTGCTGAGCCGCGCTCGGATGCAGGGCCCGGGGGCGCTGTCCCTGCGCTCCGCCGTCGGCTCGGGCTGAAAAAGTTTCTCCATGGTTCCTTTGTGTCGCCCGAGAGCCCGTTCGCCGGCCCCGACCTCCCTCGGTCTCCCTGGGTAAGTGAGCGATGTTGTGTGCGGAGAGTGCTGCCATTTTGAGCAATTCTGCCAGTCCCCAGACCCTGGGGGCCCCTCCCCGCCCCTCGGGTCTCCGAACCCCCGCGCCCCGGGCTAGTGTTCGGGGAGAGGCTTTTTCCTGGGCTGGCTACACGGGATGCGCTGTCCAGAAAAAGCTAGTTCCAGATTGCTCTCACTTCGCTGCTGCCTGTCTTCTTTCCAGAGGCGGACTCCCAGCTGCTGCACTCATGTGACTCCAGCCAACATCAATAAGCAGACCAAAGCCAGGGGCCAGGGGGTCGCCGCCCTGCCAGTGAGGGACGGGGGGTCGAGGACCTGGGTTGGGTGCCGAGCACAGCACAGCGCTGCCAGCCTGTGGGCTCGGAGCCTCCGAGCCTCAGAGTGGGGCTTAATCCATCATGAGCGGAGAACTTGAATGTCTCTCTTGGAAGCAGTTGTATTTTTAGACCTCCCTCCTTTGCTTCCCGCATCCTCCATTCTTTAACCACGGTAAGACCAGCTCCAGGCAGTAAACTGAGAGGGCAGCCAAGCTTGACTGCTAAGTTTGTTTTCTTGCATTAGGTATAAAGGAAAACCTCAAAGGTGGGTCTCCCGTGGCATCTGACCTTTGCATTTCGTGTCAGATGGTGACACATTAAAAGGGAGTACAGCCTTCAACAGAGCTGAAGGAATAATAAACGAGGGAGTTAATTACTAGCTATTAAACTCATTTTAAAGATGTGCGGTAAAGGACTGTTGAAATCCATTCCTTACATTCTACCGGAGCCAAAGCTGCTTTGCTGAGGAGAAATCCAAGTGAGTTTCCCCCTCCCCCAAGACATCCAGGCTCCTGGTGCACCTGATCAATGCCCAACAAAACGTGTAGCCTTTCTTCGGTGGGAGAGCCACCCTGCCAGCTGAGTCTGAGTTCGCTTCCAAAAAAATGTCCGGTCCTTAAAGCCTTCTTAACATAACCACGGATCTCCAGATTATTTAAGATGCTGGATTCCAAGGATCACTTATAACAACAGTCTCTATATTACAACCACATAATAAATGTGCCTATTTATTTGGGATGAGAAATAGACAATATATTTTTTTTTCAATCTGTACTTACTGGTTCAGCTTAAAGGTTTATAGATGTATTCTCTATACTGACCCCTCTCTTATCTACCTGGTGCTTCTCTTTACTGAAACCCAACTAAGTCCCAAAGAGAGATTGATTTGCAAACATTGTAAAGAGCTGATTACCATTTGCATTCCCACTGATGGAGAAAAGATCCTGCCTATATTGATATAATGGAGGAACTCAAGGGCCAAAGCCTTTCACCCAATCACCAATTAAAAGCAAAATTCTACCTACCACACATTTTCAAGGGGGAATTTATTCTAAAACATGAATTATCTGACAAAGGATAGAATAGCAAAAGGCTTGAGAGTGATATTTAAGTCTTTCATTTCATACAATGTCCTTAATTTTAGCATCTCATAGGAGGGAAAACAACTAATGGGACAGAAAATGTTTTACTCTGGAGATACAGCAAGACTATAATTTTTAGAGGTTGCCGAATAACCACCAATATGCATTTGTGAATTTACCTACCCAGGCTTTATTACAAACAACTAAATAAACTTCCTAAGAGTAATCCATTGATTGTTGCCACCCTCCCTTCCTAAAAATGACCTCATGAGAAAGGGATAAGGGGGGGGGGGAAGCAAAAAACAAACAAACAACAACAACAACAACAAAACAGCTTTGGCTTGGGGGAAATGTCATTCTACAAATCACATATTATGTAGGCTGCTTTACCTAGTTAATTGCCTCCTCATTTGAATACTGGAATTCTGTAGCATGCTCTTGGCACCTTAATAAGGGGTCAGAAAGCTATTCTGGCAGAGTGTTAGTTTTTTTTAATTGTAATTTTCCCATATGAGAAAAAAGATCTTTCTCTTGGAGATTCTAGGGGACTTCTTAAATTCCCTGATGAAATCTGGCACATGATACCTTTAAGGGAGTTCCTCTGAAGGAGGAAGGAAGGCCAGAAGGAAGAGCTCAGTTACATAAGCAGTTACCTAAAACTAAATATTCCACCCCAAGAAGCTGTCCAGATGTTGCCGAGAGGCGAGAAGGCTGTGCAAGGGATCTGCTTGCACTTAGCTGTAGGAACAGGCATAGGTGGGAGACAACTTTGTGAAGGGATTTATTGTCAGAGTACTGCAATATCTCTGCTGCTTCCCCAGTGATGAACTCTCTGTTAATTATCTGAAGTAAATAAACCGCCTGCCAGCCATTATATTACCTTTAATTTCATCCAGTGAAATAAATTCCTTTGTCTTTATACAGTAGTAACTTTCCTGACTGTTTTAGTGACTTTGGGCCACACATTGACAGATTCCCCAGCTCAGAGAGACTTGAAACTCCTGTGGTAGTTCCCTTGAAATATCTTCCAATTCCAGAAGGATTAAGGGAAAGAATCTTGCTAGGGAAGTCCTCAACCACTACTTTGCTTTTGTCCCTACATTTAGGTTTTACTAATGGTTGGAACTCCACTGTTCATTTCAAACCCTCATATTACCCATGGAGTGTGTGGGGGAGATGGGTGGGGAGCGGGGAGAAGGAGGCATACTTTCAGATGGTTTTATCACCACATACTAGTTACTGCAATGTTTTATAACCACCTATTAGTTGCTGCAACTAATAGGTCCCTTCCCTAATGTCTACCTGGCCCCAGCCTCTGTACACGGCCTTCGTTTCAGTTAGTGGATAAAGGCCCTGGGGTTGGGGGCACACATGGAGTGGGATCTGGGAGTAGGGCAGCTGCAGCGTGAGATGCCACTGCAGCCAAGCCGACACCCTCTGACTGTCTTCCTCTGCTTTGCAGCAGGAGGAGGTGGCTGAGCAGCTAGTGGGCAGTTGGCGCCCTCCCTGAGCAAGCCTCCATCCCAGAGGCTAGTCCTGCAATCCACGAGTTCGCCATGATCGCCACCGGCGGCCTGCTGAGGATTTCCGCCAGAAAGCAGGATCCACTCCGCCCCCCAAGTCAGATCCCCAAGCGCAAGCGGAAAGCCAAAAAGAGGCGCAAGAACGATGTGGTGGTGGTGAAAGGCAAGCTGAAGCTGTGCTCCATCTCGGGGCTCATCGCCCTCTGCGGGATCCTGGTGCTGCTGGTGGGCATAGCCATGGCGGTGGTGGGCTACTGGCCCAAGGCCACGGGGGCCAATCGGGAGGCGGGTAAGCAGCTGCCGCCTGCGGGCAGCAGCCACCGCGTCCCGACCACCGCCAACAGCAGCGGCAGTGGCAGCAAAAACCGGTCCAGGAGCCACCCTAGGGCTCCAGGGGGTGTCAACTCCAGTTCCGCGGGCGCGCCCAGGAGCACGCCTCCTGCGCGAGTCGCCTCCCCTTCCTCCTCCTCCACGTCGGTGGGCTTCTTCTTCCGCATCTTCTCTGGCTACCTGCACTCTGACAAGCTCAAGGTCTTCGGGCCCCTCATCATGGGCATCGGCATCTTCCTCTTCATCTGCGCGAACGCGGTCCTCCACGAGAACCGGGACAAGAAGACCAAAATCATCAACTTGCGGGACCTCTACTCCACAGTCATCGACGTGCACAGCCTCCGCGCCAAAGACCTGGCGGCCGCCGCGGCCGCCGCTGCGGCCGCAGCCGCCTCCTCGTCGTCGTCGGCCCCCCCCGCGGCGCCCCCCGGGGCCATCCCGCTCAACGGCTTCCTCAGCTACGTGCAGTCGCGGGGCCTGGAACTGAAGCCGGGGAGCTGCGGTGGCGCCGGAGACGCCTTCGGAGCCGCGGCGATGCTGGCCAAGGGCTCGTGGCCGCCTCACCCCGCGGCCCTGAGCGGCGGCCGCCCCCGGGGCGCCGCGTCCCCGCCGGACCTGGCCTCTTCCCCGCGCTGTCCGCGGGAGCCCGCGAGCCTGGCCGAGGCCGTGTACAGCGTCTACCGCGAGCGCTCGGGCGTGGCCGGCCGTCGCCGGGCCGCCGCTGCCACCGCCGCCGCCGCCGCCGCCGCTAGCAGCTGCAGCAGTCCGGCGCCCTGCAGCCCACCCGAGAGCTGGGGGCGCCAGAGCACCGCCAGCTCCCTCGTGGACTCCTCGCTGAGCGCCTTCGCGCTGCTGCCTTTGCAAGGGGACCGCGATAGGGACGGGGACGCGGAGGGCGCGAGCTGCAGCTGGCAGAGGCCTCCGGGGGAACGCGGCTCCCTGGAGATCCCGAGGGGCGAGGTCGACCTGAGCCTGACCAACCTCCGCGGAGCAGAGGGCAGCATGCGCGGGGCGAGCCAGGAGCTAGAGGAGCCCGAGGGCGCGGTAGCGGCGCGCGCCGCCAGGGGGCAGGGCGGCCGCCTGCCCAGGACCGGCAGGTACGCGGCCTTGCGGCGCCGCAGCACCAGCGGGCTCCCGGACTACCGGGTGCCGCCGTCCCCCGAGCCCCCGCCCTCCCCGGGGAGTGCGGACCCGGACTCCAGCCCTCTGGCCAAAGCCGCCTCCCCCTCGCCACCCCTGCGGCTGGAGGGCTCGCCCCCCACCAGGCGGGACTCGGGGAGCTCCCAGTCGGATGACCCATCCAGCAGCAATAAGGGCTACACACCCCTGCGGGAGGCCGGCACCTCCTCCGAGTCGGTCTTGGACGCAGTTGCCAGTCAAACGCGAGACTCTGTGACCGCCCCTGTTCCGGGTGCGGAGCAGAGCTCCCCGGAGGGTGCCAGCCAGGAGCCACTTACGGCCGAGCAACCTCAGCCGGTGCAGAGGCAGTTTACAAACAAGGAGAAACTCTTCATGATTTCCAGGTCTCATGCCATAGGGGTAGAAGAAGGAGAACTGGAAAGCACAGGCATTTAGAGAAAGGAGTGGGGTGGGGGGAGGAGAGAGAAAATGGGAGAAACGCCCACTTGTATCAGTGCATTAACAGTTCCCTGTCTCTTTTGTGGACTGATCCGAGGACATCATTCAATATCCAAAGAGCTGCAGAATGTTATCCTTGAATTGCGTCCACAAGATTCCTGTAGATAACTCCAAGGATTTTGTTTTTGTTTTTTTTTTAAAGCAAACTAGTCTTTTTATGTCCGATGGTGATTGTATGTTCGATGAAAACCAAATGTATTAAAAGGTCAGCAATCTAGTCCATTAGATAAAATTCTTTTAATTTTCTTAGGATCAAAACAATATATTTTTGACAGTAAATGTGCACTTTACTCCAATTTTTTTTAAATCCCTAATTTCCCGACCCGTGTACTCTGCGCTGGTTTTGGCCATAGCTGCTTGCGAATGGCAGGCTTTTTTCTCCCTCCCTTTGCGGAACATAGAAGAGTTTGTCTCAGTTCTCTTAGAATTGATGTTACTAACTGAAGTTAAAGCCAAAAGCATGAATAATTCAGGAAAGAGCACTTTCCTTGCCCCACTCCACTCTGCTCACCCAATGCCCAAAAGCTTCTTCATTTTTTAAACAGGTGTGTACGTTTTGCTACTGGGATATGTGGTGGAGACTGGAGCGGGGCAGGAACTAGATGGACTGTTACATTCCGAAATTTATATCAAGTACACTATGCTTTATTGAGTGTTATCACACCTGTATTGAAAATAGCATTAATATTTAAAATCTTTTTTAATAAAAGAGGTTTCCGAACAGTTAAGCATAATATTGCCTCATTTTGCCTTGGAGCTAGCTCATCTGGTACCTCTGAAATATTTTGCTGTGACACTGCTACCAGGACTGTTGTGATCTTCCCCCAAAGTACTCAGCACCATTGTCACATGTCCAGTGTATTTTTAAGCTTAAAATGTAAGGTAATATTTAACATTTGGGAATTTCTCTTTCAAATAGAATGAAACGTTAAGTGAATAGTAATTGCCTATGATACTTCTCGTTTACCTCCAAGTATTAATTTGCAGAGCACCAGGCTTAATATTCCCTTCCCATCCTCGTGGATATCACTGATGATAAGTTTATGGTCTTGAATCCATGGCCCACATAGACGAAAAGATAATGTTTTAATAATTTGGTAGATTGTTTACACTTGATGTCATTAAAAGTGAATTAGTTAATTTTCAAAACCAGGAGATACGATGTGGTCATTTTGGTCCCCTTGGGCAAAGCAGCTAGTCTTGTAGAAAGAGTGCCGATTCAGAACTGAGATTGGACCCAGCTGTTGGCATCTCCTAGCTGTGTGGCCTTGTACAAGTCACAAACCCTGAGTCTCAGTCATCTTTTTGTAAAATGAAGAGAACCAGACATACCTCATGGAGCTGTGAGAGGAATAGAACAGGGTCAGGGTCAGAGGAGGGCTTATATGTGTGGAGTTCACCAGAACCCTTGGCCCAGAGGATGTATTCAATAAATGGTGGTTATTGTAATTATTATTACTATTATAATATGTTGCTGAATGCATACTGTAGAAGAATGGACCTTCCTTGAACTTGAGCTCAAGAAAGTCTAGTCTGAAATCTGGGATATCCACCTATTATCTGTATAATCTTAGACAAATCTCTTAATCCCTCTGGGCCTCTGGTGGATGATATAATCTCTATGATCTCCTTCAGCTCTAAAAGTCTTACTTAAATTCAGGCTCTTGTCCTGGATGTAATCATATCACATTTGTTCCCATAACTTGGCAAAGAGTGGATATACGTTATCAACTACCATTAGCGCAACATTCTGTAATACATTTTAAAAGGGCCTCATTTATTCTCAGATTGGATCTGCATTAAACCAATAACTCACTTTAAGGCTGTAGATTAATATATTGGGCTCTTCTATAAAGCAAAAGTGAGTTTGCACTAATGAGTGACATGCTAGTGTAATGAGACCTCAAGGTAGTGTTAAATTTCAATAGTCTCAATTGCTTTCTCACACTTCCAAAATAAATGTCAAACTTCCTTTGGTTTTCTTCTCCATTACTTTGGGCAGTAGGTGATTTATATACTGAGATAGTGTGTTACTTAAAGGGGAAAACAGGTTCGGGTGTTCTACAATACTGTTTCCAGTCCTCTGAGAATGCACTGTAAATGCTACATTTATCAAATGCTAAGTGACATTTAGCAAATAATAAAGCTAATACCTCTTAGCTTAACTAAGGAGGGGTGGACAGAATACTGTTTATATTTCACAAACTTAGCTCCATATCAGATAATATCTAACTTAACTATTGAACAATTTAACTAGATTTTTTTTTTTTTTCTGAAGATAGAAAAAGATGAGCTCAATTTTCCAAATCTTGGGAGGAGCCTGTGATTTCTTTAGACTTCAGAGGAAGTGTATGTAAGTGTAGTAATTCACAATCTTAACTTTCATAGGAGCAGAAATCTGCAATAATAATGCTAATTTTCATTCAGTACTTACTGTGGGCTAAGTACTATTGTTTGAGCTTTGTACACATTATCTCAGTGAATCCTCACAGCAACTGTATTGAAGTAGGATTATTCTTACCCCTGTTTTGCAGAGAAAGACACTGAGGTCAGAAAGATGGAATTGTTGTCCAGGGTTACACAGCTGGTAAATGGTGGATCCAGGATTTGCACAGTTTGGAAGATTAGGTAGACCTGTTGGCAGATGCTGAGTTGAAATTGACATTTCTGGAAACCATCAAAATACTTTATACATTCTTCATTTCCTGCTAGATCCCTTTCCAGACCATTCTTAGAGAAATACAGAAAATTGTCAGAATGCAGTCAGATAGAAAGCTGGAGTTCATAAATCTTCAGACTGGCATGAACAAGTTTTTTTCTAAGTGACTTTTCAGGGGTTTTTGTATACAATAAATAGGATTGTTTGAAAGGGCCTTATAGATGATAGAATCCCCCCACCTTTAATTTATAAATGAGGTTGCTAAGATTTAGAAAGATGGAACAACTTTTTCAGAGACAAACAGCAGTGGCAGGACTCAAATGTTAAATTAAAATAATTGCAACAATTGGTGTGATGGTATTTTTTCCCTGAATTTCTGTCATGTACCAGCTGGGTGACCATGGACAAGCTACATAGTCTCTCTGTGTCTCAATTTCCTTTTCCACACTATAGGAATAATAATGTCCCTGCCTTACAGGACTGGAGTAAAGATTAAAAGAACTATTATTTGTGTAAAGTGCTTATAATGGGCTTGGAATGTAGAGAGTATTATACAAAGTTTTGTTCCTTTTATTTAAAATAGAGTCAACTGCTAAACAATTACTTCGTACGACCTTCCTTTTTATTAATAAGAATAATTTTAGGCTTAAAAGTCTAACGTGTAAGGCAACATAGCATAGTGGCTCCAAGTGTGACTTGGGGGTTATATAACATTATAACTGAGTCTTCACTTCCAGTAAGGAGATAATAAATAGCATTTGACACATAGAATTAATTGTTTAAATGAGGACTACATAAACTAATATAATTAAAGGACTTAGAACAACTCCTGGCACATACAAATATTCAGTAAATGTTTACTATTATTAAGGCAAAATACAGAAAAGCAATTAGTAGGCTAAATTTACTACTTAGTAGTTAGGGACAACCATAAACTTAATGTACTAAAAAGTCTTTATAATTTAGGTATATGAGAAAGAAAAATTAGACCTTAAAAAACGAGGGCTTACGCTGCTGCAGTGCCTCCTGATAGAACATAGAACTATCAAGAGCTGGACACACGCTCCTTATGGTCCCAGGATCATCATATTATACAACAATGAATGAACATCCAAACTGGCACCCTTGGCTATATTTAGCTGCAATTATTCCATTTCCATTTATTGAGGCTAACTGTATCAAAAAGACCAGTGAAGCCCTTGAGGTCTCAGCCTGCTATGTATTAGGCCACAAGTAAAGATCAGGTAATCTACTGATTTATTTAAATTGTATAGACAAAAGTGTTTTTCTATATTTGTTTTTTCTTTAGTAATTTTGAGTTCTTTAAGATGCAGTTTTGAATTTTTTTGCGGTAGAGAACTTAAGAAAAACCATCTGATGCATTAAATTAGTACAGACTAAGTATATGGACTTGTATTTGGATTAGGATAGTATTTTTGCCAAGATATAAAAATATATTTTATAAATAAGATCTTCTTGCATTAAGGGTTGCAGTTTAAGATTGATATTTTTTCTCACTTATAACAAATAAAGAATAGGTTGATGTTTACGGAGTTTGTTTTCCATAGACCCAGATTATTTTAAAATTTGTATTATTATTTGGAAGGGAGGAGTAAAAATCATTGGGTGAATATTTAGACTAAGTTTTTGAATGACTAACTCTGAAAAACAATCTAAGACACCCCACCCCACCCCACCCCAGGGAAGTTATCTTTGGGGTTTTTTCTTCAAAAAGGAATGAGATTCTTCTTTAAATTGGTAAGAAAATTCTATGTTTTATCTATTAAGCCACCACCAGTTAAGGAGTCCAACTTTAGTCAAACTACCTGCAACTCTGCCAAGACCTGAGGAGCTCCTTATTTTCTGTATGCCATCCGTTCGTCTATGACATCAGAAAAGCACTATGCTAGTGTTGAGCCCACATAGGTGTGAACTGCAGTAGGAGTTACAAATGCCAGCCATCCTAAGGACTTAGCCTTCACCCCAGAGCCAGAAGCATTTCAGAGTTTCCGCCACCTGGAAAGATATTGTTATTCCACTTGAAATGGGCTCTCATCCCTTGCCCCTTTAATAATGCCAGCTATGACATGGCTTTGCATGGCAGACAGGACATGGGCTGATTTGTTACTAAGATAACATACTGTCATTGCTGGTGAAAAGACTGAAGAAGATTACGCAAATTCTCCTGGAATATTACAAAGTATGTACCTGTCTCAATAACCTGTGCTTTCTGATCCTACATTGTGACCAAGTCCCATGAAAGCTGACTGTGAATAACAAGGGAGGAAAATAGGCAGGCCTAGTGGTGGAAGAAAAAGAGCATCCTGCCAAAAGAGAGAAAAAGATAGGCAAGAATCACTAGAGAAGCTTTTTGTTTCATAAAAGAGCATTTGGTTACTCTTGTTTATAGATCATTTTGTATGTAAAGTGTCTTAAAAATTACAATAACTTTTATTCCTTAGCAAATATTCTTTTTGCAAATGTATGGCTAGATATTAATTTGTATTTTTTTAATATTTAAGAAATTCATGACAGCATTATATTATTGATGCAAACCCATTTGATACTAGTAAATGCTAAACACCTAATAATGTTTAATAATTGAAAAGAAATTTATGGGCAAATTTATGAATAATTTATTTTAAGTAGAGAAACTCCAGTATCTTTAAACTATGTCTATATGTCTAAAGACAAAAAATCTGAAAGTTATTAAAGACTGACATAAGTAGGTCAATCAAAGCAAATCAGATCAGAAAATGACTTTGTCTCAGCATAGGACTTTTGCCATTGCTTTTTGTGGCTAATTGCCTTATCACTCCCTTTTGTATAGATACAACCTAAAAAAAAACCGATTTCACCTGTAGTAGTAAGCAGCTGTCCTTCAAGCTGCTGTCCTTTTGGTAAAATACACAAATTGCTTTCAGATGAGTTTCAGATATATTATACTCTGCCTATCATGAGTCAGGTAGGCACTGTGGTAGGTAGAAAGGATAAAAATACTGTTTTGTGTGTGTGAAAGACACAATTTCTGACCACAGAATCTTGTAATAGTATTGTTTCTGAGACAGGCACACAAACCATAATTTTACTATAATGTGAATATTACAAGAGAGTTATGACACGAATCTTCCAACTGAGTCTTGAGAAATGAAGAAAATGTCAGATAGGTACAAAAAGCTGGGACAGGTATGTTGGCCAGTGGGGCCAGCGTGAGTAAATGCAGAACACAAAACACAATTTAACAAGCTAGGTTTTCATAAAGTAATTGATATTTAACT